GGTAATGGGGACTCCCCTCCACCACCACCAATGTGCAGCCCCACCTGGATGATGCGACGGCAGCCATAGTCCACCAGTACGCTCACCACACACCAGCTATCAGTGGGGAGGAGAGCAGAGTAATGTAGCCAATTCATAGAGGGGGATTATTAGGAGGCCATGATTGGTAAGGGCCAATTGGATATTTTGGCCAGGACACCGGGGTTACACCCCTACTCTTTTCGAGAAACGCCCTAGGATTTTTAATGACCACAGAGAGTCAGGACTTCAGTTTTACGTCTCATCCGAAGGACAGCGCCTGTTTACAGTATAGAGTCCCCGTCACTATACTGGGGCATTAGGACCCACATGGACTGCAAGGTGAGCGCCCACTACTGGCCCTACTAACACCTCTTCAAGCAGGAACCTTAGTTTTTCCCAGGAGCTCTCCCATCCAGGTACTCACACTTGTTTAGCTTCAGTGGGTTTAATCCTGTGTGTGCTGCTGACAGGAACTCAGGACCTCTAAGACGTTCATGTAAAAAGCAGTTTAATCTCCAAGCCAACACATCCACACTCCAGGAACACAGAGTGTCCCTGTTGCCACTCAATTAAGCCAACTCTGTGACTTCATCTGTCTCCTTCAGATTATACTGTGTGTTCTTATAAAACATGCTCTTTTCTACAGTAAGACATGAGATTCCAGCAAAATGCACTAGAATTCCCTATGACTTTCATTGCTTCTTTGGAAGGTACCCTATCCACTTGTGCCATCTGTGCCAAGGGACATTTCCATGTAACACGGGTATCTTGCCCTCACCCATCCACCTCCCACGCCCACTCACTCTCCGCATTTCACTTTCTCCGCATCAGGCTTCCTACAACTATCATGTCAGCCCACTATCCGGTGTCTCCTCGTCACTTCCATCCTCTCACTGTACTTCCAGCTTTTCATGACCCCAGAAACTGCTGCTTTTTGTTCCAGCCGAGCTCTATTCCCTCTCACTTAATTGAACCCATTATTGAATTGATTAATTAGAACTATTTTACTCATTTCAGCTCTTAGGTTGATTTGTAACTTAAGCTTATATAAACCACATGAAGATATCTAAATTATTATTATCTACTGATTAGAATGCCTCCTTTAATATCACTATTTTTTTTAATTCTGAAATTGCATTCTGAAATTCAATTGTTAAACGTTCTGAAAAACTCCATGTGAAATTAATAATTTTGACAACATGCAGAAGTTTTTCAATATACTTTACAGTATGCTGATGGACATGCTACAGATACTTTTAAAATGTTCCCTATGCTTTTAAAACCAATGGGTACTGGGATTAGTATGTAACAGTACTTTATATAAGGCCATAGTGATCAATCCATAGCAATTCCACTTTATTTGTCAATATACTTACACAGGTACATACAGTAGTACTGTATAATGAAAAGTGTTTTTCATTAGTCTCTCAGGTGCAGCACATACAGAACAGCAGACAAGACAATAGAAAGTAAATGCAATACCAATAACAATGTAAAAACCAGTGTGACAGTACCAATATCCGTTAAGAACTGTGCAAAAGTACACAAACAGAGCAAACAGTGCAAAATAATACAGCGTTATCAAATAGTGCAACTCAATCAAGTCAAGTTTTATGTTCAAGTTTGGCTTACATTCAATTGTCGGAGGTATGGTGTATCTATGTAGTGGTGTAGGAGTATTGTGTTGGTACCGTATAAGCCTTTAAACTTCTCCATCTTTGAAACTGTTGGAAATTATAACAAATGACTAATTATGGGTCAAATTAAGTAACCAAGAGTACCTCTCGCTACATCTACTGGGATCACAAGTACCAGGATTGGGAAGCCTTGCCCGTCAGTGTATCTCTGCCTTGCAACCCTTAAACTGCTTTTTCCACTACTGACACCACCCATTACTACAGATCAGATTAGCAGGCCCCTCCGGGGCGGAGCGCTGGCTCTGTGGCTAACGATCTGCGCCTCTGGCTGGAAGGTTGCCGGTTTGTATCCTGTGGCCGCCAGAGGAATCCTACTCTGCTGGGCCCCTGAGCAAGGCCCTTCACCCCAACTGCCCGACTGCTCCAGGGGTGCCATGTAAATGGCTGCCCCTGTGCTCTGACCCCCAGCTTCTCTCCCTGTCTGCGTGTCTCAAGGACAGCAAGTTGGGGTCTGTGAAAAGACAAATTCCTAATACAAGAAATTGTATATGGCCATTAAAGTGATTTTCTTTTAGTTTATAGTGCATGTTCACTGTTGCTTCATGGCCACATGCCTTATGTGCTGTATGTAGCCTTCCACAGTGTATTTGCACTTAACTTCATTGCATTACACATTAGCTGTAGCCAGCTGACTGTTAGCGTTTTGGTCATTTTTATGCAAAGAGAAGTCATTCAGAAGTACCTCTTCCTCTGATTTGTGTGAGAGTAGCATGCAGAAGCATTTAGATCAAAGGAAGGCAATGTTACCACTTTTCTGATGTGCCACAGCAGAACCTTGGTCCAATCAGTACTCCATGCCTTCAGTTTATTTTTAATTAACTAATTGACTCTGATGCTGAAGGTGGCTATACAAATTCAGAAACAGATTAAACTAAAACTTGGAATTGAAATAAAGCACCACCAGAAAAAGGAAAAAAAAAAGTTAATCCAAGCTATGGCTTTTACAACAGCTGCATTGTCAGCTCACTTGTTTTAGGGCTTAGTCACTAAGAAAATCATGAATGCTCAGAGGAATGTCCTTCAAATCCATGCCCTTTTAGGCTATTGTTACAGTAACTTCCATCTTTACACAATTGAATATATTAAAAAATAAAATGCAAAAATTTATTTTCAACCCCAAATTCTTTAAATCTTTAGGCTAGCACTAAAGGTATTCGACCAGTTCAGGGAAGCAATAAAGCCAAGTGGAGATACCTTGCAACAATGGTAGCTTTACAGTACAATTGTGTCTTGGGAGGCAAGGTAACATAAAAAAGGGCTTTTTTGGGGAAAAAAAACTCAGAGGTAATCAATGCCTGTAAACAAAATACTTGAGCTTGAAACTTGAAATTCTAAAAAAAATATATTTATATGTAATCTGCAGTTAAACGACTGCTTCTGAGAGCTCTGCGTGCGCTGATTACATCTGGAATGTCCAGTTATTATGAAAACCAGCGCACCAGACAGAGGGCTAACTGACGGAGGGCTCAGTAAATATGTAATCTAAAACAAAGGTTATGAACCTGATTCTATAATCATTTTTTATGGATTCAAATTTCTGTTTCGACAGTTAGAAACGACATGGAAAAATTAAAATATTGAAGTGACATAAAAAAACTAAGAAAAAATAAAAACAATTTTATTACGAATTTTAATATAATGTATATTAGAGACTTGAGCAGCAGTTCAAGATGCCGCCTGAAATTAAGACAAAATATATAATGTAATAGCGCCACCTCCTGGTAGCAAATATTTCAGTTCTACCCGTGGGAGTAAGAAATAATTTCGATTCTCAGGCTGCGAGACGTGCGAGGACAGTGATCGGCATCGAAAGGATTCTGATTCTCAAAGCTTGCAGATTAGAATGGCATATGTTTAGCAATAATGTTATTTATGGTACCCGAAAGTTTCAGGTTGTTGCACAAAGCTAAGGTATGCGTATATGTGATCTGACAACTGGAATCAATTTCCTGTCGTTAAACTCTGTTTATTTTTAAGTGAATACCAGATTCACAACTATGTCACGAATTTTCCACCTTAAAGTCGAAAACTAATTATTAGTTAAAATAGTTCAAACTAAAAATTAGTTGCTGCTTTTTTCTCAAACTTGAAATTCATCTCATAGTGAAATGAAATTAAAGTCAGTGCACCAAAAAATTAAGAAAATGTAACAAACAAAAATGTAAAATGTCAACCTTTAACAGAATGCTTTAAGGTCAGCAAAAATGGACAGTGTACAGTACTCCCATATCCACGAGTCAGTGCCCAGAGAGAAGAACTGTGTCAAAATCTTTCTCAAGCAAAAGATTCAACATCTTTTAAAGCTGAGAATGAATTATAACTTCCAGAATTCTAGACGTTCATGAGCATTTCCAAGAAATAACAAATATCATCTTTTGAATTCCATTTGAACTGGTTTGGTTTGTCTCAAGAGATGAGCAGAATGAAAAGCTCTTATGTAATCATACCAGCTGCATTTGGAGTTGACACATCAGGTCTAAACCATGTCACACTACCCCCTGTAGGCATCTACATTTTAAATTAGAATTTAGATTATTTTTTTTATTTAACTTGGCCTTTTGAAGCAAGAGCCTCTGGTTTCAGTCAAAGAGGATAACGATGCAAACGTGCACAAGGTCTCAAGAATGCATCTGACTGCTTAGCGTACAAAGAAAATACTGCTGACATTTTCAGACTGATCCCCCTTGACAGATCACTTTAGGACATACAGCTGAATAAACGATGAAAACATCAAAGGTGAAACGCTGTGTCAGGCAGTGCTAATGGCATGACAATGTTACCCAAACCTCTTGAATTCTCTCCTTTACCACACGTGGCTGACATGATCTATCAGCTGAGAACCCAGCCTCACCTTTTTGGCTTGTGTCAGCTGCACCTGTGGTGCCTCCCACTCTGTGCTGATCTTGTATCGGCAACGCTGGGCTTGTGGGACTATGCTGCACTCACTGATCTGCAGCTCTGGATACAACACCTCTAATCCCCCTCTGCAAAGCAAAGGAAACACATTTCACCCACTACAGCCATTCAGTCAAAAGTACCTCCCACCAAAGGTATTATCAAAGATTAGCCCCCATGTGTCACCGAAGTCCTTGATATACAGTACAGTACTGGATTTTCTTGATTAGTCATAATTTGTACTTCAACAGTCTCTCCCACCCATGTAGCAGAAATACACAAATTTCTGTAGAGAAAAGAATTGCACCCCTTCTGTCTTTTCAATGCAAAATGCCTTTATACTTATAGATATTATTAAAGGGAAAGGGATAAATCTGTTATAGAAAGGTAAGAAAACAGTCACCCAGGTTTGGAGGTGAACCTGATTAATTCTGAACCACACATACCCCTGTCAAATTATGAGTAACGCCAATATTGTGGAGTGCCACTCTCTGGCTTATGCAAGGCAGTAGTGTTTGCATATTGGATAAAAGAGATCCTCCATTCTTTGTAGAGCAAATTCAATCCAGTTAGTGCTGCAATCTAGTGACACACACAGCTCATGAACTGTCGACTGGACTACCTGGACTGAAACTTTTTCTTTAAAAAATGATGCACAGTGTATAACTTAACTGAACTATCCTAACACAAAACTACAGCTTTATTGATACAAGTGATGTTCTTTTTTTTATTGTTCAACCTTAATAGCAGGAGTATTCTCTCAAAACTGGTCTGTTAATGCTGTCTCTTGGGCTGTGAGTACAAAAATGAAGAAAAGTAATTACACAGCAACTTTGCTCCTGGATCCATGCTACTGAAAACACTGAAGAATAACCTCTCTGAAGTACTGATCCAAAGGTTTAAAAAGTTCCATAGATTTCTTTCACAGGCTTTTTAAGAAACAAGCACCCTGTTGTAGATTACTTTTTTATCCTTCTCTCCGATCTCTGCTTGCACCCTACTTACCGGCAGAACTGCTCATCGGCGCTGCTGAGTTTCTCCGAAATCCTGTCCTTTTCTCCCTGAGCAATATCCAGTTCCAACACACTCACAGCCAAGCAAAGCACCAGGATCCCTGACCACTGCATCGCAGCCAGCTTGCTCCTAGTGGGAAGGGAAAAAAAAATCAAATCACACAACCACCCCACTAACGACCCACAGTGTATCATCATTCTTGAGTCATTTCAGGCTTGACAAGCTGCAAAGCCCTGGTACAAACTGTACTGAATTTGCAGGAAGGCAAATCGCATATGCTTTTCAAATATCTTTTTACAACAAAAGCCTTTCTTTGCATATTTAATCAAACGAGGTAACGAATATCATTTCTGCAATGCCTTATTAGGGCTTAGATGGGAGAGTCTCCCATCTGTAAAACCTGATGTGCCTCAAATTACTAAGCAATGGGAGTTTTTATACCTGCCTCCCAGTGCTTCTGTGGAAAACAACTTCTAAAGAGAATTCTCAAAGTTGAATGAGGGAAAACGAAGAGGCCAGAGGGAGTGTTTATGTGTCACACAGGCTGAAGCACACAGTGGTAGCAATCCACAGTTAAATAATACAGGTAAACAACACTTGTACTCCTGTTGTGTACAGTATGTCCTGGTAGTCCTGCCTGAGCAATTTTTCTTTTTATGAACCATGCCTCATAGGAACATAAGACCAGTTTCATGAGGAATGACAACACCCAAGATTAAAGCATCATGGAGTGAAATTTTGGCTTTAACTCGCTTGGTTGAGGGCTGACCTCCTGGCCAGAGGACAAGGAGACCAGGACCCCCATGCAGGGTGACCAAGGGGCAGCTGCAGAGGTGAAGATGGGTTTGGAGGTGGGATGCAAGAGACATGCAAGAGAGAGAGATAGGGGTCTCGTAGGTATTTACAGCATTTGGGAGAGGAATGGATTGTCAGGAGCAATTGCTAATTACCGACAGCTGAGTCTGACTGAGCTTGGCTGTTGTCATCTCTCCCGAACTTTTGTTATAAACTCCATTACAAATGAGAGAAGGACATGTGTCCCATCTAGCCCATTCGGTACGTACTGTAGTAGCTAAAGGATCCAAAGATCTCGTCCAGCCTGCCTGCACCAGACTAACCAGCTGTGCAAATAAATCACTTCATACCAGCAGGACAGCAGTGAAAAGTAGGCAACTACTTCTTGAGTTCTTCAGCAGGGTTATAATCTAAATTCGCTACCAATCAATCCTTATGCTCACTGTATCGTTTTAGAAAGGATTAACAAGATGAAAGAAATTACCTCAATTGGCATTTAGCTCAAAAGCATTTACCAAGACGTTCTGATCCCCACTTGGAAAACAGTAAAGGATGCGGTATGTTTTTTTTGTCTAATTCCAAATGGATGGATTATTCCTTTGGGGAGGGTGGTGGTGAGCAAACTTTAAGTGGCAGGACACATGACTTTTTTACAATTCAAACACTATCACAGATGAAGCTATCGAAGACCAAGGTTTGTTCTATCTTCTGTCTTCTGCTACAGTACAGTATGTCATCCTTTACCTGTGTAGCTACCCATCTGTGTGTGTGCTGTACATGTACTGTACAGCATACATACTACAGTATAAACAAAAAGGCTGTGGTTTATTCTTCAGAGGAAACAAAAATCCAATGGTATCAAAACCCTTAAGCAATATTTGCAATTAGCCAGCAGGACTACTTTGGGTTATTCTGAAAAAGTAAAAATGCCACATACATTAGAATTTTTTTTTCCAGATATTCTAGGTAACGTGAGTGGGGCAATTTTCTACCTAATTCTCTAATATTGCTTCAATTGTACCAGCAAACAATTTTGACAAGGTGATTAACAAGAATCACAAATTAACAAATTAATAATCAAATCATTCAGCGTCTTTCAGTACTGGAGAAGATCGTGCTGAAGAAGGTGCAATATTGATCATCGCATCTATTTCATGTTTACTTCATTACAACAGCACAGAAACCTAAACTTATTCAAGGTACTTTTTCTGGAATTTGCGTTTCGTAAGTAAATAGAAGCATATAGTGGAGACAAGATTACACGAAAATGCAAACAAAATGCGACAGTTTACATCAAAACCGCAGTAGGAAATGTGTCAATTGCTTCGCTTGAACCCGAATCTAATAAACTGTGGTTATTGTATCTCAGACGCTACGCAGCATCTGATCTGAAGTGGCAGGCAAAGGAACAACAGGATCGGAACGCAATCACAAACTATTAAGGAAAAAAAGCAGCATGTTTAAATTGTGCAAATTATATCTAAACGGTTTCGTATTTAGTGTTTCCCTTTTTCTAAACAGATGGCACAATACAGCAAACGGGAAGATGCAGAAGCGCAGTTGCACAGGTGTACTGAGAAGGAAAAAAACAGAAAACGGAGCAGTTATATTAGAACTGCCTTTTGGTTGCCGTGGGATCACCGAGCTGCGGAGCTACAGTGTGGATGGTGGTGGAGAGGAGTCCCCTTCACCTGTAGCTCATTCTGCAGAGTGTCCAGAAAGTGTAAGGAATTATTATTAATAGTAGTATTAACAATTACTTAAAAACCAGATAGGCAACACAACAGATGAAGAGGTACAATAACAGCAGGAAGGGGGATTAACGGGTATTTAAGGAATCCCCAGTTGATCACTGTGCTGGACAGCAGTGAAGTCAC